GGAGATTATAGTCGATTAAATTTCAGTAAAGATCAAATATATTAGGTAACTATAGTAGCGGTCTAGCGGAGTCGAACTTCACATAAAAGGGATTCAAAAAAATTACTAGAACACCACATGCAGGATTCAAAGCTATGACATAAAGTAATTTTTGAACTACCATATGCTATTATACTAGAATCTTTACTTATGTCCAAAGAAATTCAACAGTTTATATATAACAAAAAAAAAAAAAATTATTTATATATGCCCAGTGCAAAAAGGAGCTTTGGAGCAATGATAAAGTTGTCTCCGTGTGATTTATAGGTCACGAGTTCGAACTGTAGAAGCAGCCACTAATGCTTGCATTAGGGTAGGCTGTCTACATCCAGGGGCGGCCCGACGAATTTTGTGGCATAAAGGCAAACTTTATGAGGGGTCTTAATTTTTTATTATTATTATTTAAAGTCTATTTTTTAAAGCTTTTTTTTAGATGCAAAGTTATTAATAATTTTTTTTATAATCAATTTCTCCTAATAAGTCTTTCTCAATTGACAATATAGCTAATTCATTTAACCTCTCATGAGATATTGTTGATTTTAGGTAAGATTTTATCAATTTTAATTTTAAAAAATTTCTTTCTGCTGAAGCAATGGTAACATGAGTTATTAACATTATTCTATAAGCAATATAGACATTTAAAAAATAATCAAATCTTCTTATTTGATTGAGTATATCAAATAAATTGTTATCTTATACTTGTACTATTTTTCTTAACACTTTTAATTTACAAAATAAATTTAAACTTTCAATATCAGATTGATTATTATACTTTAAGGAACATTCAAGATTAAAGCAATATTTTTAAATTTTCCATCATCTAGTGATCTGAGGTTTTTATCGCTAAATAATGAATCAAAAATATTATCATATGCCTCGAATTGTTCAAATCTATGTTTGTTAAAGTAAGAAATCAAACATTTTCACTTCACATTAAATTTTTTTAAAACTTACATATAGTCTATTAGGTGTAACAAAAAATGAGGCCCCCTCAAATCTGTGGCCTATAACAGTTGCTTTACTTGCTTTAGGGAAGGGCCGCCTCTGTCTACATCACACCTTTGGGATGTGACCTTTCTCCGAATCCTACGTGAACGCAAAATACTTTTTGCATCGGGATATCCTTTTTATATATAATCTATGTGCACAATATAATTTTTCGTATAATTGAGGGGAATTCAAATGAATTTCCTTGCTTGAAGTTGAACCTAGCTACGCCCCTTGGAAGATTACTTCTCATTTTTCGGTAGACAATGTAACTCGATACATGTGATTACCCAATAAAATAATTGAAATACGGTACGACACCGATAAAATAATTGAATGTGAGCAAATTTACCCGTACACCATTTAGCGGCGAAACTAGAAATTTTTTTATTAATGCTTAAAATTAAAGAATTAAAAATAATTCTACAATAAATGATGTTCAATATATGTTATATAATTCTAAAATTTAATATTTTATTTATATACACAATATAATTTTTCAACAAGTATACCTTTAAATTGGGACAACATATATTTCTGCGCGTTTATAGCTTATTCAGCGATCAACAGCTGTAATTTCTAGTTGGTAAGCTAAATTGAAAGAAACAAGAAAACTTGTAAGCGAACAATAGGTCGTTGGCCTTGAAATTCTTGAACATTGAACATAGCTTTTAAGCCTTGAATTGAGAGGATAAAAATATTAACAAGAAGAAAAGATAATGGTGGACAAGTGTCCCAAAACACCGATATTCAAGGAAAGTTCTGCAATTAGATACCAATTTTCAATGTTGACTAGTTTTTCTCGATAATAATACGATTAATCATTCAACTTTCACTTATCGCTTGTTTGAATGGTTGTTCGGTATCGTTTCATAATAAATCGTATAGTATTGTATTATATTATATTGTATTGTTTTGATATATATAATATTTAAATAAATTATATTATTTGTCGTCGTTTCATGATATCATGCACCAATAATATGAGGAATAAACTTACAATATTATATAAAAAATTAAGGTGTGGAGTAATATTATTATATAAAAAGGTAGGGTAAAAGATAAAATATAATTATTTAATAATAAAAAAGTACAAGATGAGAGAAAAAAATAAAGTAACGACGCGACCACACCAAATTGGTCGTTCCATAACGTGACACTTTTCGTCGTTACGTAACGACGGATTTAACTACTATAAGTTAAAATAAATTTAAGTAACAATCAAAATAATCATTGTATTTAAAGTAACAATACAATACGATAAAACATGTAACAACCATCCAAACAAGATGTTAATTACACTAAAAATTATAGAATTAGTTTCCGTAAGAAAAAAATTAAAATTAATTGAAGTCTTAGATATAATTCCATGTATAAAATAACCACGTAAGTATAATCACGTGAGAAACTCCATTTATTTAATAGTAAGTCTGTTTAACGGGCCGGGTTGACCCGTTTCTGACCCGGTAGTAATCCGGACCGGCCCGGACCGGTAGTTATGGGGCCGGGTGGGATGGTTTAGGGGGGTTAGTCAGTGTAAAAAAAAATTCGGTTAACCGGACCGGTCAAGAAAAATCATTGTTGAACCGGTTAACCGGACCGGCCCGACCCGGTTCAACAGTGATTTTCTGTTTTTTTTTTAAAAAAAAAAATTATTTGATCGTTGGTAACGGCTCCCCTCTTCTTCATTTCTTCACTCATCTCTTATTTCTCAAACTCAAATTCTCAATTCAAGTTAAACATGCCCCGTGATTCTAGAGTGCACTCATATGTTTGGGAACACTTTGAGGTGGTAGAAGAAAATGAAGAAGTTCACAAAATAAAGTGCAAGAACTGTGGTCGAGCCTTAAATCTTCGTCAAAAGTGGGAGGGCACAGGCTGTTTAAGGAGGCATATGAAGAGTTGTCTTGATCGTCCTCCAGAAATTCGTATTTAAGATTTTAAGTTGATTTGAGACAATTTGTGTTATTTTAAAATTATTATACGTATTATGCTTAATGTTTTAGTTTGTTAGATTAATTTGAAATATTATTATGCAATGAAAATTTGAAATGAAACTATGAACGCCTTTGAATTTAACACTCTAGAAGATAGCCAAGAAGGTCATATTGATTATGAAGAACTTACTAAGGTAATGCAAAACCTTTAAAATTCTAGATTTATATTTAATAATTAAATTTTAAATTTAATCTTTTTTTATTAATTTAGTTGTTAAATGTAAACTTTAATTTGCAAGTTTGAATTTGCAAATTATAAGTGCAATTATTTTCCATCTTCATTGTATTCTATTATCTTAAATTCTTAATTAATATTCAAATATAAGAATTTTAAAGTCTTTGCATCCTTTATTCAAACACTCTTTTTATAAGATTATTTTTTTGTTTTATATTTTTACGTTAGTTATGCAAAATACAAAGATAAAATAAAATATTACACTAACCCGGCCCGGCCCCTTAGGCACGGAACTCTTCCGGTTCAATTTTTGACTGGATGGGGCCGGACCCGTTAAGCCAGGTTCGTAAAACCCGAAATTCGGCTCGGATCGGTGACCGACAGGTCATTTTTTTCCTCGACCCGATGCGGCCCACCTGTTTGTCACCTTTATTTAATAGTCTCTCTAATTAATTTTATATGGTGCTCTTTACTTTTAGTTTATATCCCCCATTTAATTTACTTAATACTCTCTCCGATGAATGTTATGGGGTACTCTTTATTTTTAGCTTGTTCTAAATTAGAATGCTGTATTTTATATTTAAAAATAATTTAATTTTAGATTTTCAAATTAACCTTAAAAACTTACTTTAATGTTTATCGAAGTATATTTCAAATCACAATTTTTTAATATTTGTGTCCATTCAAATAATAAAACAACAACCAACTCAGTGAGTTTGTACAAGTGGGGTTTGAGAAAAATAATGTACGTAAATCTTATCCCCAACTTAAAAGAATAAAAAGACTGTTTTCGATAGACATTTTGCGTTCCGCTGTCTATTCAGATAACAACACATGTGACACCACTTACAAAGATGGTCCCCTTAAAAGGTCCAAAGCCGCAGCTGGTTTTCATTTCCCTGCCACAAAACTTGGCACCAATTGTAAACACTAGCGCGGGTCCTCCAAGTGCTTTAAGCAATCGAAAGTAAGGCCGTTTGGATTGACTAAAAAAAAGATTTTAAACTAAAATAACTTTTAAATCAAAAAATAATAAGTTATGTTTGTCTTTTTGGTTTGTTTTAAGCAAATTTTAACCTATTTAAAATACTTTTTTACTTTGTCAAACACTAAAAAAGCTAAAAAGAACTTAGCCAAATCCAAACACCCTCTATATCCGCTTTCTTTTTTCTCCTCGAAAAAAATCATATTATAGTCGGTCCCAAAAATAATAGTCGGTAATATTTAAATTATGTAATATTTAATATATATATATATATATATATATATATATATATATGACTAACGAATATAATTATTTTTGGCTGACCGATCAAATGTGTAACTTGCCTTTCTTTTTTGTTAGATTTAAACGAATTATGCATTTTTATACATAGAGACAATTTAATTTTAGAATTTTTATTTTATCTTTAATGAAATAATTTATGTCACAAACATGTCTATAACATATTTAGAACACAAGTTTTAAAAAATTTTCTTTTTAAAATTTTGTGTCTAGTCAAATACCAAAAATAAATTGAAACGAACAAAATAGTTATCTTAATTATAATGATATGATATTAAAAACTTACTAATCAGATTAATTTAAATTCGGACCCACTTAGGACCCGACCAAGCCATATCTGGTCTATCAGCATTTCAGCCATGCTAATTTACCTTTATACTCCTCTTAAGTCTTAAGCTCCCCCTTTATATACGAACCTTCCTCCCTCTTTCTCCCAAACACCAAAATCTCTTAAACTCTCCCCTTTTCAAAATCCTTCTCTCTTCTCCTTTTTCTCTTTTCTTTTACAAAAATAGCCATGACCAAAGGAGGCAAGCTTACAAAAATCAAGTCAGTCTTGAAAAAAATGCAATCTTTCAAACTTAGCCGTGTCAACAGCAACAACACCACCATGGAAATGGTAACCACAAATCATTCATCCTATGACATTGATTCATATAATTCTTATGACAACAAAGAACTACACCCTGTCTACGTTGGTAAATCGCGTCGCCAATACCTCGTTGGCTCCGATGTTGTTGATCATCCTCTCTTTAGGGAACTTGTTGAAAGGACAGGTGATTCAGATGATTATATTACTGTTGGTTGTGAAGTTGTTCTCTTTGAACATTTGCTATGGATGCTTCAAAATGTTGATCCTCAACCTGAGTCGTTGAACGAGCTGGTCGAGTTTTATTCTTGCTGAATTCAGGATGAGTATGATCTTATTATTATATGTATACGTTTTGAATTCATTTTTGCATATGTATAAACAATTTGAGTCAAAAAGAATTAGTTCAGTTGAACCTACTGAATCTGCCCTATAATGGTGAACGTTTTTTTTAAAAAACAAGATTTGATGATTTAATCATTAGCAATGTAGTAAGAAAAGAAGATGATAGAGAGGATTTGTGGTGATGATATGTTTAAAAGATTGTTCAAAATGGATGATCTTGCAATTGAGGGAGAAGACTAATCGCTTATTATTGTTCTTCAATGGATGTGGTTGCATTCTTTAATTATGCATTTATTCTTTTCAATCGTTATGTGAAAATTTAGTCTTCCTCTTGTTCTTTATGATAATTAACTATTCTATTTGAAGTTTGTCCTTTTTTACTTTTTTGCATTTTGGGACCTAGTTAGTAACATGAATGAATGTTGACATGTTGCCTATTTTATTATTAAAAGAAAGGACAGCTCTCGGTGTACTCTCTCTATGCGTGACGTCTTGGGAAGTATGGATCACAAGGGTATATTGTACGAAACATTATCTTGCATTTTTGCAAGAGACTACTTTTACGATTCGAATTCGTGACCTCCTGATCACATGACAGTAATTTTACTAGTTACGCGAAGACATTTTACTATATAAGAAAAAAAGAATTTAATCTCTATATACCGACTGTCAGGTCATTTTAGAGATAACTATAAGTAATTGTCTAATAAGTATAATTAGCTAATAACCTAAAAAATTAGACAAAAAACATGTTATTTTATAACAGGTTAATTATTTTGTCATATCAAAATTCTTTATATTGTTAGTGTAAGTTAAATCGGGAAAAAATATACAAACTCTTGATGCAATTCCACTTATTCTACCTGTGTATGATCACAGTAACCTTAAGAAGATAAACTCCAAATTTACCTCTGTTTCTTATTTACTTGAGTCAATTTAGTCATTTCTAGATTAATTAAGTCAAAAAGAAAGATTTATTTATTCTTGATTTTATTTTTCCAAGAACAGAAAATTTGAAACTGGATTGATGGGTCCAAAAAACAACTACTCCACTACCAACATCATAAGTCATAATAAATAGCATACTAATTAAGTGGAGTAGACAACTTCTTCCAACTGTATAACTTTGCATTTGAAGAAAGTAAGTTACAGTTTTAAAATGCGTGGGCGTAAGCCGATGCGTTTTACATATGCCTTAGTGGGGCTTAAGCCCCATATATATTTAATTTTTAATATTTTATAAAATAATATAATGACAGTAAATATTTATAAACAGGTAAAATTGCATAAAAATTGAAGAAAACTATATATATGTGTGCTCCATCCCCACAAAAACTAATCAAAATAATCTATTAAACAACTTTGAATTTGTTGCTACGAAGAAGAATGTTGTTCTCTTTGTATTTGTAAAAAAAATTAAATATTCGTTGCTTTTGGGAGATATTAGCAGACTAGCGGACAAAATAAAAAATTGAGAAAACCATGAATTAGGGCTTAAATCAATAAAAAAAGGTCTTTACTTTTAAAGTTAATACTTTTGAGTTCCTTTTTAAACCTTTTGAATAATTACCAAACTGACTTTTGAGAATTTGAGTATTATATGAATGACTAATTCAACAAATTTTGTTTTAATTTGAAAGACTCTGGGGCTTACTCCTTACTAAAAAAATGCGCTTCGAACGCCCGGTCGTACCCGAAAGCCCGGGCATACGCACCAAATTGCGAGGCATACGCCTCTTGAGACTTTCGCCCCACACCATCGCCCCGGGGTATTTTTGGTACGTCTCGCCCCGGGGCTCGCCCCAAAAACACCATTTAAAATAAAGAAATTAACAAGAAAAAAAAATGCATTATGCTAAATATGTGCATATAGCTGTACATATTAGTGGCGGAGACACTCTTCTATGAGGGGTCTCACTGCTATAAATATACAGTTCATGTGTATCATGTTTTTTGAAAAAAAATAAAAAGGGTACTTCTTTTGTTCCAATTTACGTGATATTATTTTCTTGTTAACTTATTTAGAAAAGAATGATACATTAGACTATAAGTTTCTAAAGTATTGCTCCCACGTCTCAATTTATGTGACAGTATTTAACTGGACACAGAATTCAAAAAAGAAAAAAAGAAAATTTTTTAAAACTTATGGTAAAAGGTTAAAGTTAAATTATTTTCATATAAAAATATATGATATTTTTTTAGGATAAACAAAAAAAAAATATGACATATAAATTGAACAAAAGGAGTGCGATATCACACTATCGGAATGGAGGGAGTAGATATAAAATGTTTGACACCATTTAAAACTAATACGAAATAAACATCAATTTAAGATAAGAAGTAAAGCCTTTGAACTTGTCTTGGACCCAAATACACGTACATGTAAAGTTGTGATAAATATAGACCGCTACTGCTTGTGCAAAATCTTACGCACGTCCAGAGGAGGACCTACCCTTAGGGTAAGCGGCTCATCGGCTCCCGGTAATTTCGAAAAAAAAAATGTATGGATATATTTGTATATAATCTTAAATAACAAGTATATATTCTGATTAACATCTTAAGATTCAAAGCTTAGGCATTTGCATTGGCTGATTTGGAGGAGGAGAGGGGGCACAACTTGACTTTTAATGCATTGATTGAGTAGATTTTCGCTCCAAATTTTTATTCGATAGTGATGCTTCTACCAATTTCAAATCTTGGGTCCGCATCTATGTATGTCACTGGTATGTTTCATGAGTCGTTGATTCCTTAATTTTAACGTACTACAGCTGTTTTTGGGGTCACAATCTTAATGTTTGTCTTCCACGTTCATTCGTTATATACAAAGGGCTGGGATCCCTACTTGTACTCACTTTTTGTGATACGTAAATGGATTATGATCTGTCAAATAAGGTTTTTATTTTCAACAACAAACTATTTTTCACTTTGTTAGTTTGAGTTTCAGAGAAGCTAGGATTTAAACGTGATGAAGAAGAGTGCTTTTACTTACAATATTGCAGATGATTGCAAGGGAAAACAAGAATTAAGGAATTGCAACTTGCTAGATTTATAATGATGGTGATGAATAATTGTCATTAGCCACTTAGTCTCCACGCTTAGATATGATCATCTCCAATAGCAACTCGTAAAAAAGGGTTTTAGCGATAATAATATGGGTATTTATCAGTATTCGACATAAATATCGTTAGACGTAGGATCCAATGGCATTTAATCAATTGTCAGTAAATATTTTTGTGGCAATAAATATTAATACTAAAAGGAAAATTTATTGCCATAGTGTTAGTGATTCGGGACCAGACTTTATATATGAGTGTGAAAACTAGCACATATAAATAAAGTTAAACATATATTTCAGAATCCACTCTCAATTCAGAACTCATAATGGTTTAGATCGTAAATCTATCATTGTTCTTCATTGTGGTGGATCCAACAATGTGTTCACAGGTTAGGTACGTAGAACTAAGTGATTCTGGATCGGACTTTAATACATACATACTATATATATATATATATATATATGTGTGTGCCGGCTCATGCGCTTGGAGAATAAGTTTATAGAGTTAGATACACATTTCAGAATTCACTCAACTCAAATTCATAATATTTAAATTGTGAATCTGCTACTGGTTCTATACCAGTGTAAGTAACAAATATCAAGATATGTCTAACATGTACATTCGAAGCAAAGTAAGTAAAATATATATAAAAGTGTTAACTTGAATTTTACAATTAATACAACTAGAAACGATGAATGAGTAAAAAAAATTGAACTTATTAACAGATATTGTTAAATAATACTCCCTTTGCTTTAAATAATTTACGTGTTTATTTTTCCTTTTAAAAATTTCAAAATGAATGTCACTTTCTATATTTAGTAATTCTTTCGTTACAGCCTCACTTGACATGTTTAAAACCACAAGATTCAAAAAGTATTTGAATACTTTATACATATATCTTTAGTTTGAGAATACATGATTTAAAAGTTTTCTTTACTTTTTTAAACTTTGTGTCTGGTCAACTAAGACACGTAAAAATGAAACGAATTAATAATATTGTTTTATATAACTTTCACGAGCTCTATAATTAGTCAAATTCATCTAAAATTGAAAGAAGAAAAAAATTCTAATGTGATATTTTATTTTGTGTCTACCCATCTAGCTAAGGTTCTTTAAATCTACACCATTGCCACCAATGAATATTCATTTCTTAATATCTGAATCTTACACAAATTAAAAAGAAATTACAGTAGTTTGCAACTACTTGCTGGTTGAGGAAGTGTAAAGCTATGTCGTCTTAAGAAAAGGTGAAGTCTTCTCTGTACATCAGAGTCTTTATTGTATACTTTAATTTAATATTTAACCAACTAATTTATATCATTGGGAACTTGTATAGTTCACACTTTTTGGCGAAAATATTCCCACGTAAATGTTAACCTTTTTTCTTTATTGATTAGGTTTTAGGTATCTTAATTCCCTGTTTGTCCCAGGTAAGCTTTACCCTTTTTTCAGCACTTGGTAGACTAGTTGTCTTTATAATAAGTTACTCTATTAAGAATAAAATAAACGGGCAGAGTTATAACAACCGTCACAATTCAGACAAACTCAATAACTTTGTTAGATTATGTATTTATATTAGAAAATTCATTAAATATATATAAATATTTAATTACGAATTTAATAATTAAAATCAGCTATAATTCGATTTCCAGTTCAGAATCATAAATTTAGAATCTTGACTTCGCCTCTAAATAAAATAAATTTTAAATTAACCTACTTTATTTTGCAACCCCTACAGAGTATAAAAGGAAAAGTAAAAGGGCAGTTACATAGTTTATGATACTAATGATTGGGGTAGTTGGAGATGCTTTTTAATTAATTTTTAATATTTTCAGACATATGTTTTTGTTTTGTACCCAACACACGCTCTGTTTGTAGCTTTGTTTGTTGTTAGAAAGAAACTCTCATTACACGTTTGAAAGAATGTTTAGAATATGGATGAGAGGATTAGGCAGATTAAAGGGATATAGGATTGATTTTGGAAAGTGGAAGACACGAATATAATTCAGTAGACGTATTGAACAGAAGGCAACTCTATTATCTGTAATGCAATGTAAGGTGCATCTGCCACTTCAATGAGTTAAATAATTAAATAATATAATATTAAGAAAATATTAGAGAAAATCTTGTGTAGCAAAAATTATTGTTTGATGAAGCACACATTTGAAAAGGTTAGAGGTTGTGGGAGCTAATAGTGGTCGTCGGCTGTGACGGTTATGAGGTGTTGTGGTTGATAGGGGCGTACAAAACGAACCGAAAAAAATCGCACCAAATCGAAAAGTCAAATTAAATTGATTAAAAAATTCGATTAGGTTTGGTTTGATTTGGTTTGTATTGAGTAAAAGAACCTGAACTAAACCGACATATAAATATATAATTTTTATATACACTTTTAAGACTTTTTATAGAATTTTCTTTAAAAAATGTCAAGAAATATTTTCGATTCTCTTATGGGATGTAATATTTAGTTAATATGAAGTGCCCCATGTTTATTAACTTTAAATAATGAGTTGTATGATCACTTTCTTATCAAGTGTTAATGAAATGCGTCAATCTTTTGTTCTTCCATATTCATATGTCAATATCTATTAAATTCTTATATCTTTTTTGAATTTGAAATAGTATTTCGATAATTTAAAATTAAATAGAACATATCATTATATAGGTTCATATTTATTTATATGTTTAATTAGTAAATTCGGTTAACCTTGAAAGTGTACATCAACGTAAAATTATTGTCAGACAACTAAAAAATAACTATCATGTGTTACTACAAAAATTCTTCCATAAGAATATTTTGATAGATCATATATTTTAAAAAAATTAATATTTACTAAACATATACTTATAAAAAATTTAACAAAATAAGATTTGAAATAATATTCATATAACAAAAAAAGCCCCGAAAAATCCGACAAAAACGAACCAATCTAAATCGATATAGTTGATTTGGTTTGGTTTTGATAAAAACCGAACCAACCCGATCCATATACACCCCTAGTGGCTGGTGATGATTCTGGTTTTAGTTGTGATTGGCTGTGACAGTTATATGATATTTTTAGTCCTCTATTAGTTAAGTTGCCACCTATTTCATTAGATTAACTTTTCTAATTATCCTCTTAATTACATCATCATCATTTAGGTAATCCTCCTTCAAAGCGAAATGAAAGGATTTTTTAGCATATTTCCACTTTATCCAACAAATCAAGGTCATCATCTTCATTGGTTTAGAACTCCAACAAAATTAAATTTTATTGTGCAATGGTAGATCATAAAGATGAATGACGACTGAGGTGGTTAACGGTATAATTAGCGGTGGTGACGATAATGAAGGATGTGTTAGTAGTGGTCATGGTATTATAGGTGGTTGGTGGTGGAAGTTAGCGGTACCGGTGGTTGCTAAGACAGTAGATCATCTAACCTGCTAGTATCCATGAATCACTAGTTCAAGTTTTCTCGAGTATAGGGTTAACCATGCATAGTTGCCCCTTATCCTTTCTTTCTATCAGTCTCATCCAGAAAGTCATCCCAACCTTATAGTGGTTGGCAGTCAAAGTGGTTGTTGATGGTAGGGGTGGGGAAAGCGAAGGACTCGAGGTGGTGGCAGAAGGTGGTCAGACGATGGCTTGTGGTAGAGGTAGAGGTGGTTGGTGATGATGGCTGATTGTAGAGGTGAATTACAGTGATGATTGTCGATGGTATATGGTGATGGATGTGATGCATTGTTAGTTTGAGTGCCCGTGTGACTTACTAAAGAACTTGGTTCTTCACCGTGTTCCTTAAACTTGAAGTAAAATAAGTAGTAAAGTAAACATAATAATTTTTACGTGAAAAATCACCCGACTCAAAAGGTGCAAAAACCACGACCTACTATGTAGGGATTTCAACTTCAACTCCACTAGAACAATGAGCCAAAATATATCAATTATAAGACTGTAATTCAATACTCTCAAGTACTGCTACTACGACTACTTGATTTACAAGTTACTCTAACTTGTAAAGGAAACACTCACTCCAACTCAGTAATTACTTGTGACACTTGATTACAGCTCGATTTCCTAGAACACATTCACTAGACTGACTCAAGAAGAATAAACTACTGGTACTCGACTAGAGTGAACAAAATATAATTCTTCAGTTGATGTGTAAAAGGATGAATTGAGAAGTCCAAAATAGATAGTATTTTAATGAATGAACTTTGAGATCTTCTAGGAGTCCTATGCATAGTCAACTTCTCGTTTGATAGGACTCCTACTGTTCCAAGGACTCCACAAGTTTTGTGACTCTTGTCTCTTACTGAATTATTCGTATCTTCTTGGGCAACAACCCTTATCACATGTAGCGGCCTTCTTCCACCAAACACGGACCTGAGTAACTTTGAGATAAGTTACTATTTTGCACAGATGTACAATCATCAATCAGAGGAGCTGATCCTTTGCCTTGAGGACCTGGTTCTTAAAACAGTGAAGCAACTTCATTAAGGACCTGGTTCTCGAACATTGAATCTTAACAAACTTTGTTAATCATCAAAATCTCAATACTCAACAAATTCCCCCTTTTTAATGTTGACAAACTTTGTCCACACCGGAACCGGGTAATCATAGTAAGACATGCTTATTCACCATAAACAGACATATTCACTGCCCCCAACCTTATCTCCCCCCTTTTGGCATCATCGAAAAAAAAATAAAAAGATGTTAGACAGATGAAACACAGTTAATGTAAGATTCAAGGCCATACAAGCTACAACACAAGCTCAAGAATTTTCTAGGAAAACATACTAGGCTGAAGATCCAATACTGTACGAAGCATTAAAACAGTACAAGAGAAGTCATTTAGTAGTGCCTAAAGAAGCCCGAGCCTTGTCTTAAACCATAAATCAAAATAAAGTAAACATACTGCAAGCTACTCAGACTAAAATAGAAGAAAATAAATTAAATCATCACTGGGATAGCAAAAGGAAACTAAGGACACTGGGAAGGAACAAGTTCATGAGTGAGACGTAGAGGGGGTCAATAATTTCACAAGAGTGTCAATCTGTTGGGCATGAGCTTCCCTATCTTTTCTGAGCTCTTCCCTAAGCTGCCTGGTTTCTTTTCTCAGCTCATCATTATCTTCACGAAGCTTGGCATTCTTTTCAACAGCCAACTCCTAACCTCTTACTTAAACTCAGGCAAGGCAATGTTGAGCTTGTCAAACAACTCAGTCAATATGAAGCCATAAGGTATATCATGCTTAGGCTTGGAAGTGTCTGCAGCTCTTGCCATATGCTGAATCATCAGGCTAGGGAGATTGATAGGTCTACCAGTGTCAAGTATTTTCATTACAGCCATATCCAACAGGGTAGCTTCATGCCTTCTATTAGATGCCTGAAGAATGCAGGAATTGACAAAATGAAACAACAACTTGGGGAAGGGAGTCATATCAGTATTGTACACCTTCTGGGAGCATCCAGTTCAAATTTTTGGGAGAACTTTCTTGTGACCACAATTCTAGTGTCAACATCATTGTCTATGGATGGACACTTTTTCTTCAAGTAATTGTCAAATCCCAAAGAAGAAATATTCAGAAGCATCCCTAGCTCCTCAGCATCAAACTCCATTTCAAACCCCCTCACATTACTTTTGACTACCTTTCCATCAAATTGAAAGTTTGCATAGAACTCCACCACAGCAGGAACACATACATGGGGAAAGCTTTGACAAACATGTGCTTACATCCCTGCAGCTCAAGTTTTTCAACCAGTTGAGCCATCCCTTTTTCATTAGTGTTTGCAAGAATCTTCCCATTAAGCACTTTTCTATTCCTGAACTCTGTGAGTCTATCAACCACAACTGGCACATTCTTTCTCTTTTTTCCTCTACTGTCCCTTGCAGATGGGGTAGCAATTTTTGTAGCTTTGGAAACCTTTCTCTTTTGTGTAGAGGACTTTTCTGGCAAAACAGACTCAAACTCATCTTCTCCATCCAACTCAACCACAGGTTCCACAATTGAAACTTTCTTCCTTGGCTTCTTGGCACCTCTGGACTCCTTAATAATTTGTTCATCAACAACATTTTTTACTCCTTGTAAGAGGAGTCCTGGCAGGAGGAGCCACTTCTTTCATTATTGGGACTGCAAACTTAGTTGCTTTCACAGGATTCTTCCTGGGTTTCTTCCCTGCTTCAGACAAGGGCAAGTCATCTTCATCACTGCTGACCTCTTCATCTCCAGTGAAATAAGTTAACAAGGGCCCTAGTTCTTTAGTCCTTTTCTTTCCACTTGCTTCTTCTGAAGGGGCTATGACAGTATTCCCAATGGCCATAAAGCCTTCATATTGCTCACTCATATCCTCATTCTCTTCCTCATTTTCTTTATCCACTCCTTCACTCTCACTTGCCTTTTATTGATCCTCATATACACTCTTAGAATTACCCCCTTCTTTACTATTATTTTCTTCTTCTGCAGAATCATTTACTTGTTCACCTAGCCTATCACCCGTCTCACTCTCCTTCTCTTCTCCAGAATCTCACTCGTTCTGACTCTTTTCCTATTATTAGCTATGTCTTGAGTAGTATGCTCCTCATGATCGCCCACAACTCCTTCTTCCTTTTCACCCCCATTATCATTATCATCCTCCATCCAACTGAATGAAAGACCATCAGATGCCTCCTTTTGCACTGATTCTTTACTCCCTTCCCCTTCAACCACAAGCACCACAGTAGTGGTATCTACCTCTTTCTCCAAATTGTCTGCACTTTTTTCTACAATGAATTCCTCCACTTGTAGTTTCTCACGTATGGGTGGAAGAGTGTCTAAGGGTGCATCATCTATAGCGGATACCGGAACATCTAATTTTGAAGGAGGGAGTTATACTTGACTTGTAGTGACTGGCACTGATTCCCCCTAAACCATAGCTTCCTTGACCATTGTGTCCACTTGAGTAGTAGCATCATGCACTACCTTGATATTCTTGACAGATTTTCTTAGAGTAGCCTTGAACTTTGTTGACTTAGAGGTATTTTTCGTAGTAAGCACATATGCATAGGTGGTTAGTTTTGGAAGTGAGGGTGCAGTGGAGGTGGGATGGTGAGAGCAGCAGGAACATGGGATGATGGTGTAGATATAGTGGAGGATATCGATGGAGAAGGAACATGTGTTGGTGCGGGTTCACTTGATGGCTTGACACTTTTCTTTGATTTGGGCATCATGTTTTTAGATTTTGCTTCAATCTTGGATGATGATTTGGCTTAAGAAGGGGTTTGGCTAGATTTAGTCATGGTGATCAGAGAAGAGAATCGATGAAGGGAGAAGAAAGAATTGGTTCTTGATATTTGTTCTTGATTCTTGTTTAGGGTTTGAGAGAAACAGTGAGGTCTGAGAAGATGATCATAAGGGACTTTTAAAGACGTTACTCCTTATTTGACTGGAAGAGAGAGGGTGACCGAATTTGAGTTCTAACGGTACTCTTATAACAGTTACTTTGACTGTTTGGAATTCAGAAGTAATTAAACTCTAATTGATCTAGGATTCCCCCTTACTTTTTGACTAGAAGACAACCAGAAGTGATACTAACAGGATTAGAAGTTTGAGCATAGAAATAATTTAGGATATTAAGTCCTAGTGAATTAAGACAAGATGACACGTACCTGAGTCGAAGAACCAACTCCTTAGTAACTCCTTACTTTTTTCTGCACTAAAATAATAGCACTTCACATTAATATCATGCAACATAGTTATCAGCCAGATTTTCTAAGCAGGTGTGTGTGCTTAATACAAGCACGAGTCTGAATCAAACACATTGTACTTGACTATCTACATCTAATTATACTTTTTCTAGCCAATCATTGGGGTTCATCTAGTTGGAAGTATTAATTAGACCTAGTTCTAGTATGTTCCTTTCAAAGTGATCCCTACTCAGAGCTTTAGTAAAAATATCAGCAATTAGATCTTCAGTTTTACAAAATTTAATTGAGATATTCCTCTTTTCAACACTGTCTCTGAGAAAGTGGTGTCTAATGTTAATGTGCTTGTTTCTTTTGTGATGATATGGATTTTTAGCAATGTTTATAGCACTAGTATTATCACAGAAAATGGGAACACAATCAATAAAAATACCATAGTTCCTTAGCTACTGTCTTATCCATAGCAACTGAGCACAGCAGGATGCTGCTGCCACATATTCATCCTCAACTGTAGATAAAGCCACTGAGTTTTGCTTCTTTTCTCCCTAAGACACCAGATACGAACCTAGAAAATGAGCTGTCCATGAAGTGCTTTCCCTGTCAACATGAAAGCTTGCATTGTCAGCATTATCATAACCAAATAGATCAAAGCTATACCCTATAGGATACTATAGGCATAGGTCAGGGCCCCCCTTGAGATATCTTAGTATCCTCTTGACAGCCTTCAGGTGAGATTCCTTGGGATTTGCTAGAAATCTGCATGCAGTCTCACACTGAATATAATATCAGGCCTGCTTGTTATGAGTACAATAATGTCCCAATCATTCCTCTATATAGTTTATGTTCAACATTTTTCCCTTCTTCATCAAAGTCCAGTTTTGTTGTAATGGCAATGGGAGTGTCAATTGACTTGGAGGAGTCCATGTTGAATTTCTTCAGTGGTTCTTTGATGTATTTCTGTTGATGTATCATGGTTCCAGTAGGTGTTTTCTTGATTTGTAGCCCAAGAAGAAGTTCAGTTCACCCATCATGCTCATTTCAAGTCATTTCCCATCATCTCAGCAAATTCCTTGCACATTGCTTCATTAGTAGCCCCAAAGATAATATCATCCACATACACTTGCACAATCAGAATATTCTTTCCTTTGCTCTTTAGAAATAGAGTGTTGTCCACCTTTCCTCTTACAAAATTGTTGGTTAAAAGGAATTTTGAGTCTTTCATACCAAGCTCTTGGAGCCTGTTTCAGTTCATACATGGCTTTATCTAACTTGAACACATAGTTAGGAAATTCTTCACTTTCAAACCCATGAGGTTGTTTGACAAATACTTTCTATTTATATAACCATTCAAGAAGGCACTCTTTACATCCATCTGATACAAAGTGAACTCCATGTGTGCAGCAAAAGCTATCAACATTCTTATAGCTTCCATTCTAGCTACAGGTGCAAAAGTCTCATCATAGTCAATGCCCTCCTCTTGATTGTATCCCTGAACCACCAGTTTGGCCTTGTTCCTTGTGATATTTTCTTGTTTATCCACCTTGTTTCTGAACACCCATCTTGTACCTATGACAATTCTGTTCTTGGGTATTTGTACCAAGTGCCAGACCTTGCTTCTTTAAAACTGATTTAGCTCCTCTTGCATGGCTATAATCCAATCTGGATCCTTTATAACTTCCTTGATGGTCTTAGGTTCAACCTATGAGAGAAATGCTGTGAGTGCACATAGATTTCTCAGAGATGACCTGGTTTGCACTCCTGTATTTGGATCAGAGATGATGTTCTCAAGAGGATGTGAACTTTGATGTTTCCATGGCATGATCTGTATACCCAGAGAAGATTCACCCAAGGAGTGACCCAAAGGAACAGGTTCAGTAGGTATGGCTTCATCTGTCTGATTAGCAGTCAGAGTAGTTCTCTCTTCTTGTTGTTCCTCATGATCACTGTTGTCACACCTCCTTTTTTCTGGGGATAAGGTGTTTTTTCAATTAAAGTGACATTATTGAAATGAGATTATTTATTTAATTAGAGTCACCACTTGGAATATTTATTATGGTATCCCAAGTCACCGGTTTATTTTTAAAATCCCAAATCGAGGAAATTGACTCTATTTACGGTCCGCAAATACAGAAAATCGGGTAAAAAATTCTGTTAACCCGGGAGAAGGTGTGCGGTACTCCCGAGTTCTTAGGTTTTAGTACGGTTGGTTAACAATTAATATTTGGCTTAATTATCTGAATTATTGCATGTTTAAAAAACCTTTTATGCGTTATCGCTTCTATACTGCTTTTAATTAATTTAAACAATTATGAAATTTATTTGAACAAGTCACGGTGTCGTGCACTTGTCATTTTTGTACACATCGTAAATCACTCTACGCGAAACGTACCCGTGATTCACAACATGTTTATTTTAATTGTTTAAAGTTGTGATCAAGTCGCGTGAACGCGCACTTGAATTGGGATTTACGTATCATGACTATGCCACGAGAACCGAACCCATAGTCATGATGATTTATTATTAATCATGCCCAAAGCAAGCTACGATGTTCGAAAGCTGTTAATTTCCTAAAGCTAATTTGAGATTATTGTAAGACCAAGAGTTTATGGATAAGCGTAGTAGTATAAGGTGGAGAATTTAAATTTTACAAATAACTGAACATTCAACATTTTGCTCTTATACAACTGTAAGGTAGTTATGCCATTACGGGGCCTAAGTCCGTATGACCTTGGTTCACAAGAAAGTTATAAGACTGATTGAGATGTTTGTAAAAACAATCATTTCCAACCAAGACATTAGTTGGTCCTTTTTAAAGAAAAATATTAACATCTTGAAACAAAGCTAATTGAACTACAAGCCAGCAATTACAATATTTTTTTAAGCTTGAGAATTGGACTTTAATAGAGCCCTGGTCACAATGGAAGGGGCTTAATCAGATTGGCCCAAACAAATGTCATGCGGCTCTTGCTACTGGAGCCGGAAAACTTCAGTCATGTAGAAAACCAATCCAAGCGGGCCAACTTATAGTCAGGCCCCATGAAGCAAGGAAAAAATGTAGTACAGATTAATATTTTCATACATTTACGACAGATTAATACATTTAACAAGAAGAAACTGCTACTTGAAATCCAGACGGGTCTACTACATAGATAATCATTTATGCATTCGCAATTGACTCTACAATTTTGGCCTAAATAAGTCTAAAATAAATATAGTTGTTATGCTGCCTCCTTGTCAGTGCAGTGGCAGAATCGCTTGAGCCAACATTGTGGATTTAGTCTTTTTATTGAATGAGTTTGACCAACTGGTGATCAAACCCACCGACTCAACAATCTGAACTTCATTCCATTATAAGCATAAATTAGTCAAACTACTGCATTTAAGCTGATTTTAAATTCTTTCATATACAAAACGAGACCAAGTAAAGTGTTCAACCCATACTAGTAAGGCCAACATCAACACAACTAAAAGGAGTCAGTATCAAACAAGCAAACTAAACACATGATAGAGCATTTAAAATACCAGATTTGCATTCATTGATTCAAACTAGATGATTATAAAATGTAAAACATACCTAAATGCAGAAAATCACTAGACAAAACCAAGCAAAAGTCTGAAACTAGGAATTGGATCTCAGCAACTCAGGAACAACAGAATCAACAGCCTCTTGTGATCCAAAAATATTTAGAAAACCAGAAATATGAAGATGAACAGTTGCAGCTTCCAACAATTGTAGAGATCTCTTTTTAAAACTACTTTTCTTTTGTTTTTCTTCTATTTTTTTGTTTAGATTTTGTATTTCAGATTTGAAGTTCAAATTCTGAATTTCATAACTTGTTTCCAGCCTTTTTTATGTGAGATGGTTATGTGTGAGGAGAGGAGAGTAGGGAACTAAAAAATCAGTGAGAATGTATAGGAAGATGTTTGAGTGAAAGTGAGGAAATATTTTTGAAAATGCAGAATGAGTCTGTCCAAAATGAGAGTGTGAGTGTGTCTTATATGCAGATAAATGAGAGAATGTGCAGAGAATCTGTCAGCCCTGAAAAATAGGGAAAAGGGCATCTTTTTAACAGATTTGGACAGTTGTCCCCTTCATATTATTCTCTTTCTTTCCAGCCTTCCCCCTTTTTTTCTGTATTTGAACCCTTAAGTCCCTCATTTGACTTAATTTCCTTGTCTTATTTCCCTTTAGTCCCTATTATACTCTTCTAGAACCTTCTTAACAACTAAACAGAAAGATTTCGTGATTTTCTTATTTGTTTTAGCCCCTGGTACTTCCACTAATTACAAACAGCTATCACAATAAGCTTAAACGGATTGAAAAACACAGCAAAGCAAACGATATTCAAAGTCCAACCCAATTTAGGTAATTAACCTAATTTAGATATGTAATTAACTAATCAGGATCATTTAGCCTACAAACATGCGATTAAACTAACTGTTATGCATCTGAACTATTAATCTAACACATAATTAATTGATCTTAAATCATAACTAATCTAAAGTATGCTAAACATATGAAAGAACAAACTAACACTCAGCTATCGATGCAACATTAAACTGTCACGACCTAATTTCCCTCTTTGGTTGTGATGGCACCCAACATCGCCGCTAGGCAAGCCAACGGTGAACTAACCATGTAATTATCCCTTTTTAATATTTTAGAAATGGTCAATTTTTAATTATTAAATAAGTGAGAGGTGAGAGATTTGATAAAATAAAGTGTGATAAATCATAAGGACAAGTGTGATGAATTGAATACTCTAAAAATCATCAAATGTCTACCAGAAAGATTTCAAGACCTGGTGTCACAAGTGTATGAGAACTAGTTGAATATACAAAATATTAAACTATTGTCTAAAATGGAGTAGATAGAAAATAAAAGCAAAAGAGAGACTCCAGGTGCTGCAGAACGGACTCGAAAAATAGCTCACCACTAAGTCTCGAAGTATCAGATGTGTGCGCCAGGATAACCACCAGATGCACCTGCCTCAGAACCTGTACAATTAGTGCAGAAGTATAGCGTGAGTACATAAACAATATGTACCCAGTAAGTATCCAGTCTAACCTCAAAGAAGTAGTGACGAGGGGGCGAGTTCGATACTTACTATGGGCCAACAATAAAATATAGAAATTCTAAATAGGTATGAGACATGGAAATAATAAAAATGATATAATGTCAAGAAGAGAATAAATGACCCATTAACTAATAATAAATTTCAAGGTCTCCAACCAACATATATTAACCCCGAATCAATCTCTGTCATTTAATAATTTATGACCTCTCGAGCCATAAAGTGAAATCAAGTGTAATCAGGCTACGAGTATTATTACGCACGATTTATGAGGAAGTCATACGACCCGATCCAAATATATACTGTGTGCACTGTCGAGGGTCGAACGATACGAACCATAGATGCATCTATTAACCTACCGAGGCGAACGACCCACTCCCATGAGAGTAGAGAAGTTTAACTCGCTCGCAAAAGTACTTGCGACGCGAGTGAACATGTATTTCTTAGAGTTATTTTATATATATTCCTCAATTCTTCCCAAAAATAAGAAATCTAAATTGGAGAGTTTTGACCTTACAATCCCTAATCTCAGCTTTATTTTTGACAATTAATATGCATAATAAACATAACAGTATAATCAAGGCATAATGTAAATCTACGACTACCCGAACATCCCATGGAATATAGCTACGCACGGACTCTCGTCATCTAGTGCGTACGTAGCTCCCCACACAAGTAATTCACAACAAAAATATACCTAAGGGGACGAGTTCCCTCTTACAAGGTTAGGCATGAGACTTACCTCATTCTCAAGCTCACTCTTGATCCACAAATATGCTTTAAATCATCAACTCGGTTCCAAACAACCCAAAACTAGTGATCAAATGTTATATAAATTAATAAATACATGTTCAGAAGTTTATAATTAAACTATTAGAGTAATTACCCAACTCAAATTGGAAGATTCTCAAAATTCACCCTCGGGCCCGTATCCCGAAAATTTTTGAAGATAAATGTTACCCATAACCTCACGAATACAAATATATAATTTTCACCCAATTCCACAATCATTTTCGTGGTTAAATTCTATTTTTATCAAAACCTAGGTTTTTCATCTAAACACAAAATTTTCGCAATTTTACATGTTAAAATCTACCAATAATCTATGTATTTAACTTACATTGAATAGAAATTACTTACCGCCAATAGCTAGGTGAAAACTCTCTCTCTAAGAGCTTCAAAATCGCCCAAGGAATGCAATAAATGAACCCAAAATGGTCTAAGTCCTGACTTAACTGAAGCTTTTGCCTCCAGCAATTTTCGCTTATGCGGCTCCGCATCTGCAAAAAGTGCGTTGCAGATGCAGATTTCCCTCAGCTGGCCTAAGTCCGCATCTGCGGAAAAATGGCTCGCTTCTGCGAGCCCGGTCCTGCGGCGTACGAGCCATGCCTGCGACCTTGCCCGCTTCTGCGGTCACGCATTTGCGCCCCCATGTCTGCATCTGCGGACCCAACCCACGCAGCCCAAATGCGCACCTGCGGCCAATGAGCCGCTTCTGCGGTGCTGCACCTGCGGCCAATCCTTCACAGGTGCAAACGCACCAGAAGCCCTTCTGCTTCAGCATCTTCTCCAAGTCCAAACTTGTTCCCCGCATCCTCTGATTAACACCCGAGGTCTCCGGGGCCTCCTCCAAACACACCAACAAGTTTGTAAACATAAAATGTACTCACTCGCACCCTCGATACGCGGAAAACAACATTAAACTAAGAATCGCAACCCAAAACTAATAGAATTAACTTATGAACTTCAAATTCTTCTAAATTACTCCGAGCGCGCCGAATCATACTTAAACAACTCGGAATGATACAAAATTATACGAGCAAGTCTTAAATCACCATGCGAAACTATTCCCAGCCTTGGAGTCCCAAACAGACCTCGATAATACCAAAACCTACCCCAAACCAAATTTAAAG